CCTGTTTAACAACAGCAATTGAAAATGAGATTCAAGCTAACTTGAAACCTAAGTGAACAATTTCAAAATGATTTTACTTTAGAGGAGATGTACACATATTTTCCTGTTTCCGTAATCATGTATAAGATAATTGTTACTTCTTCCTAAATGATTCAGACATTTAAATAATTCTTATGCATTTTCTGATTTGAAGTACTTGGAACCATTTCAGTGTCTTATGGTCAATAAGTATTAATATACTGGATACCTTTGGTCTACAGTAAATCCTAAAGCAAGCACAGTAAAGGTATAGTCATTTATATCTTCTTGAAATAAAAACCATCAAGTAAATACAACGTGACATAATGTGTAAACAGTATGAATTTTCTACTAACAAAGAAGGTATTCATGAAGCATAAAACCACACATAACTATACTATAAATCTATAGAAAATTACACATCATTTTCTTCCCAGGACACAGGTTTTCAAATTTCAGTGGAAAATAAGCCTTGTGTTTTCTCATCATTTAGTTTCTTTAGCATTTACCTTTGTCTTTTCTAATATACATTTTACTAAAAAGAAAATTTCATGTGCTGTAATTATTACAAGAACAATTATGAAAAACATGCTATATAAGTAGTATGGAACATATATAGATGCTTTAGTAACTATGTAAATGTACATTAACCAGTATGAGCAAAATAGTTTCCCATTTGGAAGTATTAAATATTTTGTTAGTTTTTAAGTCAAACTAGAAAATATGAACCATGACGAACATATGCAAAGACAGACATATATATATCATTTGTTTCTAATAACAGTTATCTCCTTGAAGAAATTCTGCATGTATTTTCATAAGTAATTCCACCTGAACAAGGAGGAGCTAATGGACCCCCAGACTGATAGCTGGGAAACCAGCATTATACCATCTCAGACCCCCTGAACATGGGTGTCAGTTAGAAGGCCTAGGCAGTCTAAGGGACCTCTGACAGTGGAAGCAGGATATATCCCTGGTGCACAAAAGGATTTTGGGAGCACATTCTCCATGGAGGGATACTCCCTTAGCATAGAGGCAGGAGGGAGGGCCTAATCCCTACTCCAAATGATTTGACAGATTTAGATGACCCCTCTGGAGGGCATCACCCTGCCTGTGGATTGTGGGGAGGGGGGAGGAAATGTGAAGGGATGGGGTCGGGGGCATGGGAGGGAGGGAAGGGTTGAGAGGAAACTGGGATCGATATGTAACACAAGAAAAAATAATTACAAAAAAAAAAAGCAATTCCAATTTCACTTAAACATGTGAGTTTTAAAAGCGAACAGTGTGAATTTCAGTCTCCTATACATTTAACTTTAACACAATCCTAGCCATTGTTAGTCTGCAGGGATGGCACTGGGTAGGAGCACTTGTTCTTGTAGAGAATTCAGATATTTTTTTCTAGCACCAACTTCATGGCTCACAACCAGTTTTAGTAATTCCAGTTCTAAGAGTATCTGCTATCCTCTTCTGACCTCCAGAAGGCATACATACTCACATACACACTTAAATTCATACAAACATACATATAAACGGGTAAACAACCATAACATTAAAAATATACTTTTAAAATGTATAAAACAAAATCTTTGAAAATAAATAAAAAATTATATGAACATAAGTTTTCTGTGAAAACAGTCCAAAGTTTTTACTTAGCACCTTCCTTTCAATATCTCCATGCTCAGAGTGGGAATTTCATGGCTTGAGGTTGGGGAATCATCTGAGGTCACAATTAAAATTAATAAAATAAAGCCACATAGAAGGAACTAGCATGCCTGATCTCAAAGGACAGGCTAGCTAAATCTAAGGTTCTTTGTGTTTTATATATCAACTAGTTTTACTAAATTAATAAAAGAGTATCACATATAGCAAAAAAGGATCTACACCTGTATTTATAAGCATGTATTTTAAGCTAGCACAAAACTGAAACACAAGAAAAGTGCATTATTTAATTGTATATAGACTGTTTTGAACTCTGAAGCTAAGAGTTAGAGGAACATATATAATAGACATATAAAACAATAAAATAGACTAAGTATAAGGATTATAGGGTGAGGTGATGGTGATGATTTCCAGGAGGAGTTATCAAAATCTGTCAAGTAATTAGGAGTAGGGACTAGGCCCTCCCTCAAGCCCCTAAGTTAAGGCAGTATCCCTCCATGGGGAATGATTATAGGGAGAAAATTCCATTTCTAAGAATTATGTAGTTAAGGCATCTAAATTTTCTTTTTTTGTCTCTTTTCCTTTTTTTTTTTTTTATTTAAATATGAAACAAGGTTGTTTTACATGTCAACCCTAGTTCTCTCACCCTCCCATCCTCCCATATCAACCGCACCAAACCCCAGGGAGGCTGAGGCCTTCCCTGGGAAGTCTTCAAAGTCTGTCATATCATTAGGGGCAAGGCCTAGGCCCTCCCCCATGTGTCCAAGCTGAGAAAGGATCGTTCTATGTGGGATGGGCTCCCAAAGTCCATTCGTATACTAGGGATAAATACTTATTGACCCTATGCTGGTTTCCCAGCTATCAGACTCAGGTGAATGAGCTCCCCTTTGTTTAGGTCAGCTTATTCTATGGGTTTCTCCAGCCTGCTCTTGACCCCTTTGCTCATCACTCCTCCCTCTCTGTAACTGGATTCCAGGAGTTCAGCTAGTGTTTAGCTGTGGGTGTCTGCTTCTGATTCCATCAGCTACTAGATGAAGACTCTACATTTAAATGTTCTAGAATGTCTTATTATTTAAAAAAAAATTTTAACTGTCACACATATACCACAGATTCAGGGGAAATTATATAGAGCAAACATGCTGATGAGAGCCTTCCTCCACAGCTGGTGGTCACTGAAGAGCTACTTTACTCAAATCCTTACTCGGTTGGGAGCACAGCTTAAGACAAAAGTCAGCTCTGGCAGCAAACCTTCCAACACAGGAAAAGAGAAACCAACAGAACTGTTCTGCCCAAGCCTCACATGCATATTGGAAAGGTAATGGTCTCTTGCTAAAGGCCAGTCCCTTGTGTGTGTGTGTGTGTGTGTGTGTGTGTGTGTGTGTGTGTGTGTGTGTGTGTGTGTACTGAAACCTGGGAAAGGAGTGACAGGTGGGTGAGAGGTTAACAAAAGTACTGTGAGAAGGAGCCCACATTCTCCCAAGCATCAGAGAAACGTTACACAGTGGTGGAAACCCATCACAACTGTGTGACCATCTGCACTTGGCATGCTGTCCCATCAGGTGGAGGGAAGATTAATGTGCTCCGCTGATCACCTACAAGGGACAGCACAAAACTCATGCATAATCATAAATGACAAAGGAAAACACAATCCATCTGAGATTTTTAACGTAAACCCTTGGTGGCTACACCCAAGTAAAGACAGAACAGTTAATCACTCAGTCTATATTCAAAACACGTAACTTGGGAATGACTGCTCTACCTCTCATTATATAGCTGGTATCTAATATCAGCTGTTCACCTATTCTGATGTTGCTTGTATACTTCCCTGAAAGGAAACCACTAGATTTCTCTTTTGTAGTAGTGCCCTTCAGTTCATAGTTATCAAGTTCTGAGGGACTATTGTTACACATTGTGAGTGCCTTATTCTCCGTTAATTTTTTTTCCGAGGCATTCGAGGATCCAATGCTGAGCCTTATGTGAATTAACAAACATTATGGTGTCTAAAAAATAGTCACTTTCCTAAGCCTATAATTCCCTTTCCCTGTATTATTTGCCATTCTCTTCTTGACAACTTGACCTTTGAGAAACAGAATTCATTGATTCTTTATTTGATGTGGTATAACTCCTTTCTTTTTAATTCAATTTTTAAAAATAATTTTGAGAATTTCTGCAGTTTGTGTTGTTGCTGAATTCTAATATTAAACCATGGTGATCCCATGAGATACAGGGGGTTTTCAAATGTTTGTATCTGTTGAGATTTGCTTTGTAAATTTTAGAGAAGGTTTATAACATATCCATTTGCGTCATTTCTACTCCCTCTTCTTTCCTGCCAATCCTTCCATGTCTCCATGATTTGCTCTCTTCAAATGTTCTTACAGATACTAAACACACACACACACACACACACACACACACAGCCTGCTGAATCCATTTAATGTTGCTCCTATGTTGTTATTTTGGCTGAAAAGATTAAATATCAATGTGGGAACAAATTTCAACCAAATATGTGTTTGTGTTTTTCAGGGATAATGTTTAGTATAACAATGTATCCTAGACTCATCTCATTGTTCACATATCCTATATCTGCAAGCAGATATTTCTTTGAGGTGAATTGTTTCCGTTAGTAGGGCCAAAATTCTGAAATAGATAATCCACAGTGTTGTTATGTGGTTTTTTCTGTGGTTACTTGTTTCTATCTTTAATTCTATGGACAGAGATGAGAAATAAATCACCACATGTTCATCACCATTATCCACTCCAGTAATGATTTTTACAATGAAGAAATCCTGATCTGAAGTACCAGAATGGGCATTCATTTTCTGTATCGTGAACAGGTTTCTCTTGCAGTACTGACAGAAATGCTATCAACCTCAACCAACAAATAATACTGAAGATTTATTTCCAGTTCTAGTACCTGCATGTTATAATAAACAATGTAAGATCAGAGCAGTGTGAGCAAATACTACTTTAATTGCTTCAGTTTTCAAGTATTCATTTTATCAGATTTGGTATTAGGAAATATTTCTTAAACGAGGAGGAAAGCCTATATTTTTGAGTCACTGTTATTGGAGAGTTTAATTTACTTCTAATATATTTAGTATGGTATGTGTCATGTTACTATTTCAGACAAGTGACATTTTATCTCCTGTTTTTCCAGGACTTACACATCTTCCTCCCTTCCTCCCTCCATCCCTTCCTTCCTTTTTCCCTCTCTCTTCCTTCCTTCCTTCCTTTTTTTCCTTCTCTCCTTCTATCTTTGAATAGCCTCTTACTTCACAAAATATTAAGAGGAAATACAGTATATTTAACAACACTTTTACTTGGTGCTGGCTTCAGCAGCACATATATTAAAATTGGAATGATACAGGGAAGATTAGCATGGCCTCTGCACAAGGATGAAATGCACATTTGTGAAGTGTTCCACAGTTTTTGGGAGGGAGGGAGGAAGAAGAGGATGGGCAGAAGAGAACATAAGGGATTAGGAAGATTGAGGTGAGGGAAAAATGGAGAAAGATCAAGAAAATAAATACCTGAATAGAGGGAACCATTATGGGTTTTAAGAGAAATCTGGCACTAGGGAAAAGTTCAGGGATCCACAAGTATGAGCCCCAACTAAGAATCTAAGCAATAGTGGAGAAGCTACCTTAAATGTCCTCCCTCTATAATGAGATTGATGACTACATTATATGCCATCTTAGTAGCTGATGGAAGCAGAAGCAGATATCCACTGCTAAACACTGAGCTAAACTCCTGGAATCTAGTTGTACAGAGAGGAGTGAAGAGCAAATGGGTCAAGACCATGCTGGGGAAACCTACAGAAACAGCTTTCCTGAGCAAGTGGGAGCCCACTGACCTCAGTCTGACAGCTAGGGTACTATCACCTCCCCAACCATTGCCTTTTAACCAGGATTACAATACAAGGCGTTTAATTCCATGTTGTGGAGGGGGACCCATATCCATCTTTTAAAATGTGTGATCACTGGTACATGTTTTCATGATCTAGAGAATGGCCCACGCTCTCATCCATGTGAGATGGAGGAGTTGGATATATGGAACAATTAACAATAAAAGAACAACAGAGGACATGGAATTGGGAACTGCTGTGGGAGCTACATGGAGAATTTGGCAGCAGAGATGGGGGTGGGCATCATTGCGTCTCACTATAGACAAGCATTAATTATAAAGTATAAAGGAATTTGATAGAAAATAGAAAAAAATAATTGTTTCCTGATTATTTTTGCAGATTTATTATACTATTAAATCTAGGACCCTTTAAAATAAATCAACAGATGTACCCTTTCTTAACATGAAGAGTAAATAAGGGACAGATTCAGAAATGATAGACATTCAACATGGGAGTGAAATGGTCTGCACTGCAGCCTTGCAGCAGTATGAGAAACAGCCAGGGCTAGCATCTGATGAAAAAAGAAGATTATGAACACATGGGGAGATATTGGTAGCAATAAAAAAGATCAGATGCACTGTCAGAGAGGTTATTGAAAATTTTTATTGAGGGGTTCAGAGGGGTGACAATATCTTTTCTAAAGTTGGACATTTTAGAAAATTGAAAACTTTCACAACTGAAGTTTTCTGGAGGATAAAGAACAGAAAAGTAAACCAACTTTACCTTGTCATAATCACCTAAATATTAGTAATTTAATATTAAATTATACAAGATATATTTAGAGAAATATTTTTTATATTAAAGGTGGCATTTTAATTCTTTCAAACATTATTAGTCTATAGACTTTTATATAGGTATAATATTTTTAATAAAATTATACATAAAGGAAAAGACAAATAAAATGTCTTAAATTTTTCTGCTATGAATAAGAATTGGGATGATATGTTTCTATGTTAGCTCTTTTATAACTACATCTTTATATAATAAAACTTAATTTATATAAAGTCATTTTCTGTAAGTAATTTTCTGTTTTCTCTTGAGCCTTGAGCTGTCTGCAGGGGTGACAAAATGATTCAGTCACCATGCATTTTTGCATACATTTTGCTCCCAAAAGTCACACATGAAATTTCCTTGACATTCCTCCTGGTTAATAGGCCATCAAGTTACCTCTGCTTTATGGACTAAGCTTAGAAAATAATGGTGTAATTTTGTTACTTTGCTGGCTGTGAATTTATCAAGTCTGTAATGTGTACTACAAACTTTTTTGTTTGAGGGCTCTGATTTGTTTCAAGAGATGTATTCTCATCATGAAACCATGGTGGGGATAGTTAGACCAAAAAGATTGTAGAGTTGGTGAACTGGTAGATCTTACAAGATGTTATACCACTTTCTCATACTCAAATGTTCTTAGAGTATTGTGTCTGAAAATCAGTATGACAGCCTTGCAAACTGTCAGCCCTACAAATTCATTCTCTTGGAAGATAGTGATACTAGCTACGAATGTATACTTCAAGATGTTTTATGGACCTCCTCCCACAACTGCTTCACTAGCCCATCAAGGTACCTCTGCTCCATGGACTAGGCTTAGAAAATAATGGTATGAATTTTGTGAATTTATCAAGTCTGTAATGTGCATAGAGGCTAAGGAAGTTGTGCCATTTTATAATTTAGTGGTCTAGGTTTTTTAGAGCTTCTACTTTTTGGAATTTGTTATCTGTTAATGAAAATGTAGTTTTCTTTTTGATTTAATTTTATGAGACTTTCTCCTCATTTTATTTCTATACTTATTCATCTGTTGTTCTTCCATTTATATTTTTGCTAAAGAATACTGGGTAATTTGCTATAATATTTCATTATTACTGTGGATATTAATGCATTTTAAAGAAAATAAAAATGTGGAAGGCAAATAAGCTGTTTCTATTGTACATTTGTTATGGCTTCAGCTGCTTAACTAACCCTTCAGCTTACTTTCTCCATGGACTAGGCTTACAAACCTGGGTGTGAATTGTGTTAGCTCATTGTGACTATTATCAATTCTGTATTGTAAAGAGAAGCTGAGGAAGTTATGACATTGCATTCTTGAGTGTTCCAAAATTTGAATATTTCTGTTAAGATTGATCTCATTTTGGTTTAGATATGTTGGCCATTGGTCCTGTTTGAGAAAATAGAGCAATTATTTTCAAGATCAAAGATTGCTGCTAATGGAAGTGAGCAGAATCAGTAATCCTGTTACTCTTTGGTTTTACTTTCAACATTTAGGAGGTCCATAGACTTATTAAGACCCTGAAATTTCAACCATAAAACAAATCACCCGGTTTTTTTGTTTGTTTGTTTGTTTGTTTTGTTTTGTTTTAATCGTTGGGCTGGCCAGTATGTTGCTGCCTTTCAGAATTAACTACATGGAGGATGCTTGTTTACTGATTGCCTCTTTAGAAGGCCTCATTTCAGTGTGGCAATTATGTAAGGAATCACATCCTGAAATCTGGCAGACAATTGGCTCAAAATATTTGTTGAATAAATGGATGATTTAATGACTCAATGAATAAATAAATGGAATAAATAATTTCAAATATCTTTCCCACAACATCGTATAAGACAAATATGAACTGCTATACTTGATTCTGAAATGTTTTGTTTGAAAGTGCTTTTGTGCTTTCACTTTCTAAAATATTCTAAGCTGATTTTTACAGAAAATTATGCAAATAACACTTAATCATTCTATAGCACAGTTCTAAATGAAACATTTCCAGTAATTTACAATGAATTTGAAGTGATGTTATTAAAACCAGATCCCATGCTCATTCCATCATGCTGGCTTACTCATCACTGCAATTTTTGAGGTTTTCATAGTAATTATAGGGGATGAGATTGCTTATAGTACATAAAATACTCAGATAAAATAATTCATTTTGCTGTCCTTATTTGCCTCAAACTGAGATGTGAAAACAAAACCTCTGTGGATAATTATTGGCAGAGTCATTTGAGAATCATAGGGCTATCTAATCCAGTGATGTTTCTAAAGGCCCAAGGAATGATGGGAGCTTTAGTCTGTCAATTCTATGCCATTTATGAACACCTGGGTCACTAAACTATAATTATGTTAAGAATAATATATTTTACTCCTGATAAGTATGGTTTTGATTGTTCTAGTGTAAATAAACTATTCTTCCAATTGAGGTCACACTAATACACACACACATACACACACACACGCACGCACACACACACGCACACACACACACACACACACACACACACACACACGAGACAGTGGTGTAAGACACCCTATTTACAAAGTTTACAATTGTCAATTTAATTTTACTCTTCTTAGGTAATATTTCTTTATATATATATAACTGATTCTTACACTGAGAGATACTTTCTATAGAGCACACAATTTTTTTAAATCGAAGACTGACTCAATGAAAATCCCTTAGGAGAAAAATTCTTAGATTTCAAGTGTGTATCACCTAGACATACTTTCTTAAGAATACCAAGGAAATTGTCTCTTGGCAGCTAACTAAAACTTCACGATAAAAAAATTATTTCCCCTTGGGAGAAATTTGTGAGTGCAAAATCATATCTAATATTTGAAAATATTCACAGAAAACCTAAAACATTTTAAGAAAATCAAATGATACACTGACTCTTTTTTAGGATTTCAAAACAGAAATGTAACAAATTAATACATTTGCAAATAAAATCTACAAATAGCAAGCAGGCTTTTAAAAAAAGCATAGACACTTCAAAACACTGATTGGTTACTTATGGGAAAGTAAAAATATTCAAGAATCAAGAAAATGAATCCAAGAGCTTGATGGGTAAAATTAGCCACTAAAACTAATTGTTGCTATAGAATTTAAGTCATAGTGAATGTTCCCTTCAGATGCCCATCTGCACCCAAGAACTGACATAAAACAATAATTACCCCATACCACTGATTTTTGTTTCAATTTTGAAATGATAATCATTCTTGTCCAGCCATTGTGTATTTCATATCCCTGGTTGCTTACAGGTTGTTAGACACAAGGACAACCAATGAGTAGCTGCTCATTCTAGGTAGATAATGAGATTGTAGACTTAGAATCACTGATCTAGCAAGATGATACTCTGAGTAACTTGGGAGACTGTAAGTGAATTAAGTCATAAGGACCAAGTGTGCAGATTTTATTTTCCTCCAAAATTGTCTGCAGTTCTCAGTCTTCAGGTATTCATCAACATGTCTGTGTACTTGTGCACTATTCTATAGAAATGTTATACAAAGGAACAAATAGAACATTCACGTATATTATTAAAATCATTGGCAAACTTATATAAGTGATTATAGCAGTGATAATTTATTTCATTTCATGGCATATGGAGAAGCATAGAGAACTTTACTTTTTTTCACTTTTTACTCACTCTGAAGAAAGCTGTATGACTTATCAAGAGGACACACAACTAGATTCAGTGAGGTTATATAGAAAAGAAACTGAGTCAGCATGTATGTACCAACAATGTATATTGGTCACTCCAGATCCTGGAAG